TATGTCACATGTTCTTTTCTCATTCTGTTGATGGAAACTTAGGCTGAGTCCATGAAGTGGGTGCTATGAGTAGTGGCACAGCAAACACAGATGTGAAAGTATCTAAGAAAAGCTTTTCCGTGTGTTTGTCTCTTTCCTACATTGTTCATTCATTTCTCCTTTTTGTGGAAAAGTACGGCTATCGAGGAGGACGACTTGGTCTGTTTGTGGTATACACCTGCTAGCCTAGTTTGCTTAAGGCAGAGGATCATCTAGGCTTCTCTTTCCCCTCTAATTTTGCTTATCTGATTCATCACCATTCCAGCCCCTCAGCATCCAGTGAACCAGGAAGTTTAAGCTGCACTTCAGGGGTTCTGATGCACTATTCTCAGGTTTTGCACACATTAACTTGTTTTCACTCTTACATCACAACCTGTGAGACCTGTGAGTATTTCCATTTTACAAAGGTGGATACCAAAGCACAGAAAAAAAAATTTTTTTCCTGGGATCTTGCAGTTAGCACAAGTGGAACCCAGGAAGATCTGCAGACCCTGCTTCCTGACTATGTTGTTCCTGACTCTGGCACTGGTAACATGCAGGTCTTTCTCACTGCTCAGCCTCAACATTTGCCAACTATGCCTAATTTTAAAACAAGTCACCTAGAAATATTATTGTCCCTTGGTAAGAAATTTAAGATGGTATGTCTTATGTAAAGCATGATATCATCATTCTTCAGAAAATTAGACACAGAATTGCCACTTGACCCAGCAAGCCCCCTTCTTGGCATACTCTAAACAAACTGAAAATAAAAAAGACTCAAACAGATACTTGCGTATTTACTCGTGGCACCATTATCCCCAGTAATGAGAACAATACATCTTTTCATTCAAGAATGTACTTCTGGTCTCAAACATAAAGTTTGGTCCTAAGGGAATTGTTAGATCTGTCTCTCAGCTTCACCCAATTAGCTGTCATTTCTGTCTTATGTTCTTGATGGACACACTGTCAAGGACTGAGGGGAGAGACCTAAGTGGGCTTAGTCTCTCTGCAGACTGCTGTGTAATTCTGTTCTTCCATGAAATGAGGGTATTAGTAGAAAACCATGAGGATGCCTGTGTATGTCCTCAGACCAAGACCACAAGGTTCAAATATGTTTTTGCTCATCTTGTTTCCAGAAACCATTAGAAGGAATGAAGAGGAGGAATCTCTAAATAACAGAGTAGTCTGCCATTGGCATTGTCTGGATTCTAGACTCTAGAATATTCAGCTGTGGCCATACTATAAATGCAAATTTTTTGCCAACCAATTCATCATAGCTTATACATCAGACTCCTTAAAAATCACTGTGTTTAAAGATTTCACCCTGAAAATGTCCTACACTGAGTACCTTTGAAAACTGACAAAATTCTTGGTTCTCTAAATTACAACAGAATCTCAACTCTTTCTTTAAGCCCTCAATTTTGACCTGAATTCTTCAGAGGGAGTTTCTAGCTCCAATGTGTAGACAGGCAGCTACTTAGTCTTCTAAGAGATAGAAAAAACACAAGCAGTTTCAGCCAGACAGTGAAAACTTGATCCAAATGATAGACGAGAAGAAAGTCCTGATCCATGGAAGATGTCACATGGATATAGCAGGAAGGGAGGGAGATGACTGCTGGTACAGTGCCGAATTGTAGGAATACATGCTCAGTGTTCTGAGAGAGAAATTGAGGCACCGGGGAGAAGATGAAGATTAGTCAGCATGTGGAAGAAGAGAATGCGAAGAAAGGGTTATAACAACACCCACTGTCCAGGGTGGCTTCCAAATTTCTTCTTCCAGTGTATTTCTTTATCATGTAGTCAATCCATAAAGGGCTTCAGTCATTGACATCTACAGGGGTAAAAGTTAGTTTTTATTCAGGTCATCTGAGAAGTCAGCTAAAACTTCAGAATTAATGTTAAAATTAAGTACCTTTCAAGCACAAGTCATAATTTGTTCAAAATAATGAGAAACTCCTGAATAAAGAAAAAGAAGATTAAAAACTCCCCAAACACTCAAGTCCCTCATATGACAGAAAAAAAAAGTACTTTCAAGGACAGATAAGCCAAAGCAAGCATTAAAACACTAACATTTCCCAAACAAATGCAATAGTCTAACACCCGTGATCGGAATCCTGAAAAAAAACTTTGTTTATAAATATCAAAGGGAAATTTCTGGAAAGTTCCTAGTAAAATAATCAGGGATAAAAAGAATACAAAAAAAGAATTAAAAAACAAGACAAAACAAAACAAAGAAAAACCCAACCCACATTGAGCATGTATATATATGGCTCTTAGCAGATTTGAAATGGAATAGTGGCAGAGGTGGGAACAGGACTCTTTGTAACTGACTACAGCAAGTAGTGTCTTTGGTGACAAATATCCTGGTTTTCCCTTGAAAGTCTTGCATGGGGCCTCCATATATCTGCCAGCCTTGGGCAGGAGCCAGAGAGTTTATCACCTCATCACGTAGTCAGCCAACTCAAATGTACTGCAATAGCTCCAGACCCTATCAGTTTACACACTGCGCCAAAATCTACAAGTATAACAGCATATGCAGGTGGGTGACCAAGGCTGGGAGAATGGCCAGGATTGGGGACCTGCATTGTGTGCCTTGAAGGACCCACTGTTAGAAAAACACATAATACTGTCTAAAATTTACTTACTGACAATTGAAAACCAAAAACACAAAACAAAACCAATAAAACAAAAAAAGAAAAACAAAAAGAAATGAAAACAAAAAACCAAAAGAAACAATAAACAAACAAAACAAACAGACCAACAAAACAAAGCATTCCTTCCTGTGTAAAATTTACCATGTTAGATTTTTTTCTGGATCTGGGTTATGTTGTTAAGTGGAAAGAGCTAGAGCTATTTTTTTTAATTAAAATATAGACATATCACTGAAATCATAACTGCTCACAGGTTGATGGAAGGCTTTCTCAACATGAAGGAGTTTCAAGAACAAAAGTCACAGGAAGCTTACTTAGTCAGCTGATCTGAAAGCTCTGCACCTACCTAATAGCTGAATGTCTAACCTAAATAGTTAACATGGAAATAAAGTGTGTAAGATCAGCAGAGACAGTGCTTGTATTCTGTGTTAAAATAGTTCGATTCCCTACCTGTCCTTTAAGAATTATTTCAAGGAAAGTCATCATCAATGAGGTGAGATAAATACACAGAAAAGAAAGTAGGGTGGTGTAACAATAAAAACCAACTCAACAGGGAAAGAAAGGATTTTACAAGCCTCTCGGCTCCTTGATTCATGGGGCCACCATTAACCCCGAGTTTCCGAAGAGCACTCCCGGCCCTCGGGAGCTTCTGAGACCAAAGCTCCAGAGTATTCACGTGTCTGGGCAGCGGGTAATAACTGTCAGATTGTGAACCAAACTTTCAGCAAAGCTTCTGTGGAGAGTGGGATCACGGGACGTACTTTCCTGTGTTTGATTCCTACAGTGTTTGAGCTCCTCTGCAATCAAGATAAATCGCATTTATAATTAGAACAGGAAGGATAAAATGAAACCAAAATGACATTCAAAATGCCCTTTGTTGCCTGAGTCTGCGTACATCTCTCTACGTAAAGTGAATCAAAAGCCACGATAGTTATTTGAGGGGAATATTGTCAGCAATGCCCGCCATTTCTTTAACTACTTTTCATACTTTCCAGACTCTAACTTGTCATTTCAGTTTTCTAATAAAAACAAAAATAAACAGCATGCTAATGTAAATACAGAAGTTTAAAATCGTTCAGCTTCCCCGGCTGCCTGCGAGCACATTTTCTGTTTGATTTTGCTACACGTGTGGACAGCTTTTCCCAGACTTACATCTCTGGTTTAAATTATACAGAAGCTGTTTTACTTCCCTTTATAAGTGTCTCATTTAAATTCCCAGGTGTAGGTAGGTGCGGTGTGAACTGGGAGGAGGAGACCCTTTTCATTTCCTGATGCCCTTGCCGTGAGAGGTAAGCAAGCTCCGGACAGTGGACAGCGGAGACAGCCCCAGCCTGGCCAGGGCTACCAGCTTTTCTTTCTGGTTCTGAATCTTCCCAGAGGAGTGAGTGAGTGTCTGCTTGGGTCTGGATGTTGTGACCTTGATTCAGCATTGATGTTTATTGTCCAAAGTTTATAATTTTTATAAAAAGCAAACAAGTAGGAAAAAATGGAGCAAAAAGCTTATAAAAATTTGCACCCGTTTTCCACAATCCAGTGTTTATAAAAAACTGTCATATCTAACAGAAATTCTAAATACAGGCTGATTTTTCTCTCAGGAATACACATTCCAAGTATTTTTAAGTATATTATGATAACTTTTTCATGTGACAGTCATTTTCTTGAGACCCTATTTGGTTTGTCAACAAATTAAACAATAAAAATTAGATATAAAGTATTCACAGACAGGTATACACAACATTGAAATGTACATTTGTTTTGACATTCCTATTAAAATTAAAATCTCTGTATCATCCCAGTGTTCACCAGCAGTTACGAGAAGGAAAGCTCGAAAAGCAAAGCTAAGAGGAGTGGCTTCCCGCGGGACCGCCATACCATTTGGCAGTTCTCTCTTCCGGGGCTAGAGACAGGTGAAGTTTGTTCCTGGTACTAAGGTTGGGCAGTAAAAAGGGATGTGGGCATAGACACGTTGGAACGCTTTTCTGAAATTCCTAGTGTTGATGTTTGCATTTAAAAACATCGTCTTTCGGCACTTTCTGTAATAGTCTCTCGAACTCAGCTGAGGACTGTGGGAACAAAAAGGGTTTGTGGAGTTCTATGAACAGCAAATCGCAACGAAGATTGTCTCCTCTCAGTTCCCCTAGCACTTGTCTCTCAGCATATTAAAAATCCTTCCCCCACTTTTTTTTTCTTTTTTTGCAGGCCGTATTTTCTTCTGCCCTTACACCCTGAGTTCTTTTCTTTTTATGGACGTTTCTTTTCACACCCTGCTAACTCATGCCTTACATGCCTTTTTTTTTTTATCCAGCTGTGTGGCTGAAAAACCTCAAAGTCAGTAGGTGGTCATGGACCTGTGCCCCGAATCCTGTAAGGCAAGTAGATGTGGAGTTGACAGGTCTCAGGACAGGATCTTTCAGCACCAGACACAGGAGCTTCCAGCTTGCAGAACACACACGTCATATCTTCCTGGTGGAGCCTCCTAGGGCAGACAGCACCTGTGAACCATAAGGTAGGCTTCCTCCCTGTCCTGGTGGACTGAGCCATGTCAACCAATGCAGGGCAAAAATGTTTCCAAATGTAACCTTCCACTGAACAAATCAGTTCTTTTCTGTCTACACAGTGGTGGAATTGGCAGCCTGTCTTTCTAGACCTCACTGATATACCACTGTGGCTGGCAGCCAGGCCTGGTTCAGCTAAATCACAAGTCTGGCTGAAGTTCCCAACATCTGTATATGTTCACTCTGCACTTGGTGAGCACCAAAAGGAAGGGACTTCTCATTTGGGGCTGCTCAAAAGCTGACAAAGCAAATGTTTTGTTTTCTACTGTGAGCTGGGTGCCAGCTCAAAGCTAAAGATTTATATTTTGACACCCACTTGCACACATCTGCATATTCTTTTTATAAGCGATCTGAAGAATGGTTAAAAATGCTGTTTACAAGCCATGCCACTAAAAGGGAGAGGCCAGGGTTCCAGTCTAGGGAGATAAAAGATAATGTAGTAAATTATTTGAGCAGAATGTCGTTTTTAATGTAAAAAACATTTAAAGTACTTTAAACCTTGGTAAATCCTTTCAGTATACCTATAAAAAGCATAGAAAGCAGAAGTCTATCTTTTTTTCTCTCTCTCTCCCATAAAAATGCAAGATAAATATCAGTGGACAGAGGTGAATAATCATGGATTTGGGGCACTGCTAAAAAAAAAAATGTAATTTTTCCCTAAGGTGGGGGTCTCAAGTCTTCCTGTGTATTAGGGTTAGAGATTGCTTTCAAATATCTTGATGTTCAGGCTATACCTAAGATCTGGCCATCACTAACATGGTCGTTTGAAGTTCCACAGAGAGCACCAGTGGGCAGGGGCCCAGTTTGAGTTGCAGGGTTCTGTTAACCTCTCAGTTGACATTGATACCTATATCAGAAGCTTGTGTCTGACTGTATGTAGCTGCTCTCCTTGTCCCAGAAAGTGTGCAATACTCCCTGTTCATCCTTCTGTGGGGGTCCCCAGGGCTCACCTCTCACTGCCTTTAGCAGGAAGCCAAGGCTGTTCTGAGTGCTCGGGTTGGCCACGGTAGCTGGTCATTCTCTTCCTCTTCCATCCACTCTCATCTTCTAGAAGGTCCCTTTGGGAACAAGGACTGTGTGTCTTATTTCCGTATTCTGCTATAAGCTGTATGTTTTTAAGAAGTGTACCCAGGCCACGTTTTTTATTCTTAAGTGAATGGGTATATGAATTCATAAGCCTACATGAGTGTAAACCCAGCCACTACACAGTAGAGTGACTATAGATATTAGTAATGTTCTATATATTCTCAAAAGCTAGAAGAAATTATTCTGAGTGTTTTCACCACAAAGAATTAAATAATTGAGGAGATGGATATGCTTTCACTGATTTGATCAAGATACACAATACATACATGTGACTCAGATGGGACCCCACAACTACAGGCTTTATGTTTTCAAATATCTGTTCAAATGTAAATTTGAATTAAAAATATTCAATTGCCAGTATCAAGGTGGTTCAGTTCAGTGCCTATTTTATTAAGTGCCTGTTTGGTACCTACCTGTTCATAGGTATAGGTTCTGAGGACTCGATTCTGAACCTGCAGATGGATGTTGCTGTTTACCATGTGGGTCCCTTAATGGCAGGCTCCTCATGTGTCTTAGAACAAACTTGCCTCTTGCTTTCCCTTTTTTCTGTCTTTCTAACACACAGTGTCTTTGACTTCCACTCCCTCCATGGAAAGTGTGTATGAGACTGAACCCGGTCCAGCGAACTCGGGGCTGGAAGAGAATGCTTAGTTTTATCACATGTTGTGTACCTTCAGGGGTCTCCCTCCAACTGGGCTGGCTTCTGAGCAGAGAGGACAAGAGTTATTCAGAGGGGGGCTCAAACTTAATATAAACATTCCTTGATCCACAGAAAAAAATTGAACTGACACTAGAGCAAAAGCCTGGTCTCTAACTAACTGTAAAACCTGCTGTTGCAATTTCTGAATTCAGAATTCTCTCCCTCTTCCCAACCTATGATTAATTTAGAGCTAGGCTTGAAAACATGTTTTAACTTTCGCTCTAAATCAGTCAGCGGGCATGTATTTCTTTACCTAGCACCATACATTTAGATCGTATTTTCTTGGAGGGAAAAAACTATATGCATAGAGCTGGTTGGAGGTCACAAGAAACACCCAGGCTGGTGTTGGGCTCCTTCTTGATCCCCTGTCTTCCTCCAGGAGCTCCAGGACTTTGCCATAGTACCAAGGGTACTTTGTCTGACAATACATTCTTGTCTGAGCAGAGGCATTAAACTAAGATGTTGATTTAGAGAAAATGTTTTCCAAAGTTCTTAATGTGAAGGAGAGAGGTGAAGCTCAAAGGAAAGCAAAGGTTTCCCTTTAGCATGACTTTGAAAGAAATGCCTGTATTTCAAATTCTAGAATGTTCTCTCTGAGCTGACTTGATGCCAACAGGGATTTCCCAAAAGCAGACGGATATTGGTTCTAAGACGTATGGAGGAGAATTTTGTTAGCAAAGCCTCCTGTTTCTTTTATTTTTGTATTATCTATTTACCATTCATTTGTTCATTTGTTCTACTGGGGATGGGGGTGGGGGTGGGGGTTGAACCTGGCACATGCTAGGCAGGAGTCCCACCTACACTAATGTCCTAGGCAGCTTCTGTTTAATTGTGTCTTATCCCCCAAAATGAGAAAGTCACCCAGTGTTGTATTATTCCAGGTCTTAAATCCTTTCTAAAAATCATCCAGGAAAATTCTAAGTCTGGACAGGATACTCTTTAGTCTTAAAGTATTGTAGACACGTGGGGACTGAGGGCAACAGCTCAATCTCTGTTTGGCTCTAGGTATTTGAATATGGTCTGTTGTCCTCCTGAGCTTCACCCTACCTCCCGATGCCCTTGCAGACTTGACGACAGAGTTTGCTTCATTAAATCCTGCAGGAAAGAAGGTGGTGGAACTGAATTGTGTTGAAATGGTAAGTAAAAAGTATTTAACATCTAAGAAAATCTATGAGTTAAAACTATAATTACGTCACTCAGAAGAAAATCCATGGCTGGTGGCTCCACAACTGCCTGTAACTCCAAATTCACGGGGATGCTTCTGGCCTCTAAAGCTACCTGTACTTAGACGTATGAACCCACACAGAGACGCATATACATAATTATAAACAAAACAAAAATATAAAAAATTATAGCACTTAAAGACTAAATGATTCTCTGTGGTCCATGATACACGTAATTTTCACATTTTTTTAAACTGGGGGGTTATATTTATTAAACAGATGAAGAAATGATTATTCTCGTTGTCAAAACAATGTCATTACCACTGTATAGCGGATTATCAATAATCTAGAAATGATCTAAAGTATGTAGGAAGATGTATGTGCCTAAGACTATGTATGTGTTTAAGACTTCATACTAGAGTCTTGTGAAACTTCAGAGCTTTGGTATCTTAAGGGAGGAGTGGGATTTTAGAACCAATCTATCATATATAGCAAAGGACATCTGTCTAGCTGTTCCTGACCGTTGACTGTGTTGTGTCTGGGAACATGAGGGAAGAAGTTCTGCTCGTGGTACCTGAGTTAACTTATAGTAACCCGTGATTTCTGTCAATGAACTTGCATATCATACTAGTATACCTTTTAAGTTCTAAGGATGTGAAGCAGGTTTAAATAAATGGTATATTAAGATTTCCAGATTGTTCCAATTTTGTTTCAATATGAAATGTCATACTAGGTCTTAGGCTTCTTAAGTATTAATAGTTCAGAGTGAGATGAAGGATGATGTCCATCTATGGCTCAGGTATATGGAACCTAGACAAAACAGAATAGGTAGAATTGTAGTGGGAGTATAAAATGATGTAAGCTCACCAAATTGAAAAGCCATTTTCTGTCATAGTTTTTGATGCTCATAGCCAGTCACCACATACCACTGTTAGAATCTAGAACAATGGCAAACAAAATTTTCTTTGGAGGAATAAACGTAATAGCACATCAGTTCATGACGTATTTTCTCCATTTAGCAGAGTTAAAATGGTTGCAAAAGCAGTTTAAGAAGCATGTGTATTCCCTTTCGTGTCAGCTGTCTTGTCAGGCAACACCATTTACATTTTATACTTTCTGCACTTTTCACAAATTTTAGATGGGAAAGTTGGCTGATCAAATGGGTTTCAGAATCAACCTATGAACCATAAGGCTCATTCATAATTTCAGTGCTCCAAAGGCAGGCGCAGGGAAGGCTCCTAATAAATTTGCCTTAATGGATGTCTAAATTAATCTAAAAATGGTATAAAACTCAGTTTAGGGCATAATGTCTTTAAATGCATGTTTGTGTTATTGTTTTTTTTTCCCCTCTATTTTCTTTCTTGTCTGTTTTTCTCATCCTTTCTTGCTGTTCTGGGCCCTGAATCTAGAGCTTAGAATGTAATGGGGAAACACTGTACCACTGAGCTGCATGTCCAGTGCCAAGGCTTTGGCTGCATTTGTTTCAGTTGCAACAGAACCACCACAACATGACACACTGCAGAGTACTGTTTGGATAGCTAGTTTAATTTTCAGTAATTTTTTTCAGAAGGTAGACCGTGGTCAAAGCCATTTCTAGGTCACTTCTATGGCAGTGCTGAGCCTTGCCTCTCTGTGTTGAATTGAAAATTTCTCTTAAAACTACATATAGATAGATAGATGGATGGATGGATGGGTGGGTGGGTGGGTGGATGGATGGATAGAGAGAGAGAGAGAGAGAGAGAGAGAGAGAGACAGAGTCAGATATATGTTTCATAATACATATTACATAGCTTGCAGCTACCCAGGCAATTTTTTTCTTTAAAAATACTGTTAGATACTCTCTAAATTGAAAGAAATATACTTTTCCTTTGTGTAACAGAAGAAATAATTAATGTCTTTAAAATCTCTCTAATAATACATATTTTGAAAAATAAACTTCTAAATTGTTATACTTATGCAGGTAACAAAATGAGCTATGTCTAAAGACACACACACATATGTATATATATACGTATGTGTGTATATATATATGTACACAATGTATACACATGTATGATACTTAATAAATTTTATGGTTCTAAGCAATATAAGTTTTTGAAAACTTCCATACACTGTGAAGAAAATACTTTCACATTTTTATCTTGTTTATCTACTGGGCAAATCCTCAACATGCATTGGCTCTGGGGTTAATGTAACTTTGAAACCAGGCAACATAACAGATTTGGCTCCTAATGCCATATTTTGGTCTCACTTCCACCAGACTCTGAGTCCCACGTTCCATTCTGCTGCAAATTCACCCTAGGGAAGCAGCCTCCTGAGAGCAAAGGCTGAACCGTCATCAACATCTAAGAAGCTTGAAAACAGAGTCTCACCTGAGTCGTGCCCGTGCCCTCCTGGGTGGCAGACCTCTAGTAGGAGAATGCTAGAAAATGAAAGTGGATTGGAGATTTTGAATCATGAGTGTTTCAGCTGAAATCTAGACTGCTTGGTGCTTGAGGCTTTTCTTCTGCTCTCTCAGAAATATTCTTGACAATTAAAAATGTTGTTTTAAAATGCTGTTGAAAGGTGGAGTGACTGTTGTTTACAGAGATCCATACAAAATACATCTGTCTCTTTACTCCTGAAAGAAAAGGCAGGTTGAACATATAATTTTGCACTGACAGCGTTTACAAACAAGAATTTTAAAATAAAATGTGCCCTTTGGTTTTGTGTGCGTGTGTGTTCGTGCACCTACATGCGTGCACACTCGTGCATATTTGCGTGCATGTGTGTATAAGCATTCCACAGGCATGTCTGGGAAGCTGAGAGGTCTCCATTCTTACTGTCAGCTGTCAATAAGCTAATGTAGAGCAGAAGCTGGGATGGAGGTGGCAAATCCCTCACGCAGACATCTGAACAGGTTTCCTGTGCCCTACTTACAGACAGATAGCATCATCTGGAAAACCATACATCAGAAAAATAGGTGGCCTGCTCCTGATGGTAATGCTTGAGGTGTCTGAAGAAATTCAGAGGCACATCCATTCTTCTCTTTCGCTATTATATTTCTTTCATTTCTAAGTTAATGAAGACACAACTTAGAATCTCATTTGTTTTAAGGGAAAGGATTAAACTACAGTGGATGGAAAGACTCCTAGCACTACCACCTCCACCTGTCTGGTCCGAAGAAGCCATTCCCTATGGCTTTGCTGTCATTCTTCACATCATTGTTCATGTGAAGCGGGGTACCTCTGCATGAGCGGAGTGGTACCTCCGCATGAGCACAGTGACTAACCATTGAGTTATTTTTCTTGTAGTGACTTTAGTGTTTTATGAGTCTTTCCATCTTATGTCTCATGAATTAACCTCACCCCACCATCTGAAATAGCACAGTTTGATCAAAGAAGTAAATTAATAAAGTTGAAATCACTTCCACCGAGGCCAACACCTTTCTCTATGCTATGCTTTTATTGCTCTTCCCAGCTGATATTTATAATCCCGCCATATGTGGTTATAAAGATTTATTATGAGCCTGTGGAATAAGTCCTGCGAATGTGTACAGTAAATGTCCAAGTTTGACTCAAAAGCCTTGGAGATTTCTAACACGATGAAGCCATTTTGATCGCGAGCCAAGCAGCACGGAGTTGGAGCAGAGCCTCATATTGACAAAGGGTTTAGCTCTGTGCCTTAGACTATACTAAGCCCGTGTGTGGGTTCCCTCTGAATATTTGCAAAGCTCAGGTAGGTATGTTTCTTCTTCCTCACTCTCCTCATCTGAGGAGAGTTGAAGTTGTAGAATCTGTTGACCAAAAGTTGAAGTGGAAAAATTTAAGACCGCAAATAAAAGGTCTTTAAAGACACGACAGAGCTGAACCAGAGGTTCAGTGAATGGGACATCTGTATGTCCATCCTAGTCAGGCACAACTAATTACTGAGAAGGTCTTCTGAGCCCATGGGGAGAGAGAAACCTGTAGGCACCAACTAGTATGAGCTCCTCCACCTCCATAGCAGTAACTCCGGACAGGACTCTGCTTGTCTCCTTCCACACCTGTCTTCCATGTGTTCAGTTTCTCTTACCCTTAATATATGTGTATATTTTCTCTTTTTAAAAAAATGTGTATGTTATTCAAGTGAAGAGTTGCTATTGGAAAGAGAAAAGTCTCTTACTCTATTCTAGGCTGCTAGAACAAAATACTGTATATCAAGTAGCTTATAAACAACAGAAAAATATTTTTCACAAATCTAAAGGGTAGAAATCCAAGATCAAGATGCAGTCAGCTTCCCTGCCTGGTGATGCTCCCAACCTGCTTGATAATGACGCCTTTGTGCTGTGATTTCACACAATGGAAGCAAGAAATTAGTTTTCTCAATGACTTATCTCAGTCATAAGGGCTCTGTGCTCATGATGTACCTGTTGCCCTGAAACCTTACTTATGCTATTACCTTGGGGGTTTAGATTTCAACATATCAATCTTGGTGGACAGGAGCAGGTAGTGGACATCCAACCACAGTGATTTTCAAATAAAACAACAGAGTGGGCTATCTCCCAAAATTTTAAATGAGGTTTCTCAACACCCAAAGAGTTTGTCACCTAAAATACTTATAAAATTATTAGAAATTTTATGTATCCTCTCCACCCAGGGGTGTGGAACCACTAGGGCATGATTTTTTTTTTTATCAGAAGATCTTAAGGATTTTTATAGGTAGCCTGGGTTACAAACTGGTCTAAGTCAGTGCACTTTGCTTCATCCCAGGGATTGATTCACACATTCTGTGATGGTGAGTATCTGCACTGGTGAGAAATCTGAGCAACAGCTCCTGCTGCAGCTTTGTTATTTTTCTTTGGGTGGTGTTAATAACATGACACTCTGTCTTAAGTCTCTTGGCCATCTGAATAAGTGTCTATTTGAAACAAATTATGAAAATAAACATGTCGGTTGGTGGGAAGAGAAAATTTGGAGCCAAGAGAAGTGCAAAATCTACGTGTTCGCCTCACATGTCCAAAAGTGATGTCATTCACACCATAGTCAGTCACCTATTGTGCATGACTAAGAATCATGAAGATGGAGACACTCCTCATTGTACTTTCTAAACCTTTACAGATCTCATTACTTGCACAAGACCATCAGCACTTAGAAGCCTATCTCATTTGCAATGAATAATTTATGTCACTGATTGATATTCACCAAGACTTAACTAAGTCAAGATAATAAGTGTTGATGAACAGGGAACACAGGGTTTAAGGAAGAAGGTGGTTAATGAACCAAAGATACTTGAGGCAAGTGGTGGAGGACGTCTAGACTTGAAAACAGGATCGATCTGGTTATAGGATGGTATATAAGGGACAAGAAACAGGGGGCCAAGAGAGAAGAGAAAGAGGGACCAGAGAGCAGACAGAAACTAGACTGAAGGGAAGGGGAAGCTAAGGCTAAGTAAGGCATGTATCAGCACAACAGCTTTAGTGCTAGCTTGGATGGTGTCTGTGTTTCTGGGACAATACATACTCCTTTCTACAGGAGTCTAGTTCTGATACATTTCTAGTAGAAACTGTACACGTGTTTACTAAAGGAATGTGCTAGAATGCTTGTGGTGGTACCAGATCTGCACTTATTCAATTGTTTGCTAGAAATACTACAAAAAAAAGTACCACAGAGTGGGTGCCTTAATCTGTACACATTTATTTTCTCACAGTTAGAATGAGACTTGGAAATCTGAGATCAAGGTATCAACGTCACTTTCTTCTAAGATCCTTCTTCTAGGGATGGAGATGGTTGTCTCTTCCTTGTAATCACATGATTCCCCCCTCTCGTGTGTCTCTCTATCTTTCTGTCTCTGTCTCTGTCTCTCTGTTTGTGTGTGTGTTCTTTAACATACCCTTTCTTATATTCTAGTTAGGGTGCATCTAAATTTCTTCATTTTATTTTATTAACCTCTTTTAAAAAACCTATCTCCAAATACTGGTCCATTCTGTGTACAGGGAGCTAGCATTTCAATATGGAGAATAATGATACACATGTCTAAAACAGAGTTGTTGGCTGACAATGGGACTACAATGACAGGAAGCAGTGTGCGTGAATCTCATAAGAGTCGGGTTGAATGACAGGCCAGACCAAAGCAAGTGTAGACAACTCTGTGTCCATGGAGGTCTTGAAGAACAGAAATGGTCTACAATGAGGTAAGTAGAAACCAGAATAGTGGTTCTTCTGGAGATGGCTCAACTCCATCATTTCTGCATGCTGATAGTCCTTCTTAGATTGGCATTCTTCACACAGGTGTAATTACATGGTGCAGAAATACCAACCTCTGTACTTAACAAGGCAGGACATGTTTTCACTGGGAATGTTACTGAATTTTATGGTTACAGAATGAAAATTATGATTACTGTGTTTTAAGTGGTAGCTCAAACTATCTGCAGATAATTGAAGATTAACAGGATTCATATTAGTACCTTTCTATCCAAAATAAAAGAGTTGCTAGAGGCTCTGAGGAGGAAGTAAAGTAGGAAGGTGGAGAGGGCAGGTGCACATTAAGAGACAGATGAAATGGCTAATGGCTGATTGACTAAAATTCAGGATAAAAGTACACTGTAGCTTTCAGGTTTTGTTTCTGTTTTCTGGTTGTGCTAGGGATTGAATCCAGAGCCTTGCTTACACTGCACAAATGTGCTAAACTAAGCTGCACTCCTGACCCTGTAAAGGGGTGCATTCAAAAGGTACAACAGTAAATGAAAAATAAAATAAGTAAATAAAATGAATACCACTGTAACCAAGCACTGTGAGGACATAACAGTAAAAAGGAACATATTGCTTCCATGGGAAAGACTCAGTGGAATTCTGTCTAACTCAAGTGAATATTCCAGGATGGAGAAGGCAGTTGCTAAATCATGGGAAGCTTGGAGTAAGCCATGATGAGAACGTTCACATCACAGGAAGTGACAGAAATTAACTATGAAGCCACCAACCAACAGAGATAAAAACGGAACTGGCTGATCATGAGGGTCCCTGGAAGCATGTGTCTATCTCATAAACATCTGTCTCAGCAAGTCTGAAAACTCATTAACTAGAACATAATCACTTAGAGAAATAAGAAATGACTGCATCAAATTTGGTAACAATTTTCCTTTCGATGATTCTAATAATTGATGGTGTTTTGTAAATGTCAACAAGAAAAAGTTTACATTTTTTTCTAAACTGAATATGTATTTGAGATTCGAATGAAATCTATGTCAGATATTAAAATAGCAGGGGGAATAAGATGGTCCTGGCTAACTTCACTCCAAAGAATGCTCATCTAGGATGCTCTCTGTCCCCTCCCTCTTATCTCTCTATTGTGGCGGCAGTCATTCAAGGTGAGACAAGGTAAAAAAAAGCCATTGCTGTCCCCTTACCTCTTCGTCCCTGGCTACTGTGTACTGGATGTTCTGCTCTGGCCTTCTGCTTGTCAACCAGATATTTTTTGATTCTTTTTATCCCATTCCCAAACTGAACAGGTCCCAGGTGCCAGCAACACCCAACCCCCCTTCTCTTCAGGCTTCTGAGTTTCTGAGTCGCCAGTAGTGTCAGAGAGCTGTCCCCTGCTGTGCTCCTGAAGTTTATATGCTGAATCTGTGAGCTTGTCTGAGAAACTCCCGCCCACATGGGGTCTGTTCCCAGAGAGTCTATTCTAAACCTCAACTATATTAGTTGTGTGAGACACATTAGAAAAATAAATGATTCTGGGTACCCTGGCCTTGGAATTTCCTTTAAGATATTTGTTTTTGAAAGGCAAAGGGTAGCAGTAAGCAGAGTGTCTAGGAAGACAGGGCCTGGACTTGGTTTTCATCTGCCCTATGTACTATTTAGAGGGTATGGTTTACCTTCTCAGAGCCTCAGTCTCTCTGGAGCTGGGGAGCCATGTCTCTTCAGCAGGTCAACACTGGGCAGATGTGATCAGGCCTGGCAGATGTGTCTTGCAGAGCTCTGTGTGGATCTGTCTCCACCAGCGGCTTCTGCAATTAGCACTGGAAGCCAGAAAGCAGAGAGTGTTTGACAACCTTGTACTCTCAAAATTGAAAAGACGTTTAAAACTAACCCAGTCTGTTCATTCCCTTGTCCTACACATGAGAAACGGTCAGTTCTACCTAGGCATGGGCTTTCGTCAGAACAAAAGAAAATTTTTCTCTTTTTTTTCCTTCTTTTCATATGTGTGTGTGTTTGTGTGTAAGAGAGACAGAGAGAGACAAAGAGACAGAGAGAGGGACAGACAGAACAGAGAGAAAGAAAGAGAGAGAGGCAGGGAAGTAGATGGGGCACGAGGGTGGGGCATGTATGTCTTACTGTGTGTATTTGTATGGAGGTCAGAGGACAACTTCGCAGATTCTGTTCTTTGTTTCCACCTTTATGCTTGAGCATGAAGGGAGCC